GGTTTAGGGCTTAGGGCTTAGGGTTTAGGGTTTAGGGTTTAGGGTTTAGGGTTTAGGGTGTAGGGTTTAGGGGTTTAGAGTTTAGGGCTTAGGGTTTAGGGTTTAGGGTTTAGGGAGCTGCATGCCCTTCTTCCCCCTTTTTTTGGTTTAAGTTTCCCTCCAAACCCGAAAGGCCTGAATGGTGTTCAGGCCTTTCAGGAAGACTTGTCTAGGACCCAGAGAAGGCCCTCATTCCACTCTTTTTGGTTTAGGTTCCGCTTGAAACCAAAAAGGGGTGCCCATTTTTTGTTCCTAGGTTACTCTTGGGTCTAGCCGTTGAGGGCAAGATTTGAGCATAACATGTTGGGGCTTCAGTTTGCTCTGCCTTGACGGGCTATGCTATGTCGAAGGAGCTCAAGCAACGGTTTTTAGGGTTTAGGGTTTAGGGTTTAGGGTTTAGGGTTTAGGGTTTAGGGTTTAGGGTTTAGGGTTTAGGCTCACGGGATGCCACGTGGGGACCGGGACAGAGATGGCCGATGGCTTGAGAAGGCAAAGCATGTGGAATCAGTAGGACCCCTAAGCCCTAAGCCCTAAGCCCTAAACCCTAAACCCTAAACCCTAAACCCTAAACCCTAAACCCTAAACCCTAAACCCTAAACCCTAAACCCTAAACCCTATACTACTAGTTGCTTAAGAAACCCCCATCCCCGCCGAACAGCAAAAAACATACTTCTATCCTTTGGGGGTTCTTCAGCAAACAGTAGTATATAATATATAACCCTGTATATATATATATATATGCACACACACCCCACACACACACACCTTTCATAGTCCCTATATATACATGAAGTAGCCCCTAAATAACCCCTAAAGAACTCCTGTGGTCCCTTAAAAGGGTCCCTCCTTCAGTCCCTTGATATTGGGTATCTGGCTGTGGGATCTCATCGAGCTGCATTGGCTCCATTCTTTTTGCCAGACAAAGAGCCCTCAACAGGCCCTGGGCCACAAAACGATAGGGTTTAGGGTTTAGGGTTTAGGGTTTAGGGTTTAGGGTTTAGGGTTTAGGGTTTAGGTTTAGGGTTTAGGGTTTAGGGTTTAGGGTGCCGGGTTAAAACCCTACGCAGAAGAAGGCTTCTTTTGTTATTCTCACTGGGGGAGGGGGCGTTTCCGCCGAACTGGTGAGGGGCAAAGATTTTTTGCGGGTGCGGTTTTGTGAGACCCCAAAACCCTAAACCCCAAACCGCAAGCCCTAAACCCTAAACCCGAAAAACCTCATCGTGCGAGGACTATGCCATGGAGTTCTGTTCGGCTTGCCGGTTCTCCAGCTTCGTCCAGTGCGTGGAGCCTTGCCTGGCAGCCAGGGTTTAGGGTTTAAGGGTTTAGGGTTTAGGGTTTAGGGTTTAGGGTTTAGGGCTTAGGGCTTAGGGCTTCAAGTTTTCCATTTTTTGGTCTCCAGAGGATCATATTCAGGAACATTTGTTTCAGAAGGTGTTGAGAGGGCCATGCGAGCTAAGCCGAAGACCCCAAACCCTTTTCGGGTCTCTCTTGTGTTGTACAGGCTTTGGGGCTTCGGATTTAGGGCTTCGAACCCTAAACCCTAAACCCTAAACCCTAAGCCCTAAGCCCTAAACCCTAAACCCTAAACCCTAAACAGAAGGTTTTGGGGGTTTCGGATTTAGGGCTTCAAAGCTGTAGCGCCCTCATACTCCCCTACTGCGTGGCTTCAGCTGGGCAGCCGACATGCGGGGAACTTCGATCTGGGCTTGGGGTTTAGGGTTTAGGGTTTAGGGTTTAGGGTTTAGGGTTTAGGGTTTAGGGTTTAGGGTTTAGGGTTTAGGGTTTAGGGTTTAGGGTTTAGGGTTTAGGGTTTAGGGATTTTAGAGTTTCGGATTTAGAGTGTAGGGTGTAGGATTTTGGGGTTTAGGGACTCAGAATTCAAGGAGTTCCGGTCTGCATTTCGTGGTGTTGACGACCACAGCAGGAGCCCGCAAGGCCCCCAACCCAGACCCTTGGGAGGAAACCCTAAACCCTAAACCCTAAACCCTAAACCCTAAACCCTAAACCCTACTAAGAATGACCCAATACTAGCATAGGGTACAATTTGGGGGTTCTACTTTTTGGATCCTTCCAGGGGTCTGGGAGATGATTCGAATCAAGCACAACGAGCGACGAGCACTCCGAAACCCTGAAGCCGAGACGCTGCCTAAGTCCTAGACCCCAAGACCCTCGACCGTATTTCCTAAACCCTACACCCTAAAGCCTGCACCCCTTCACCGAAAGTTCCTAAACCCCAGCCCCACACCCTAAGCCCTCCTAAACCCCAAACCCTAAACCCTAAACCCTAAGCCCGAAGCCCTAAGCCCTTAGCCCTAAGCCTTAAACCCTAAACCCTCAACCCTAAACCCTAAACCCTAAACCCTAAGCCCTAAGCCCTAAGCCCTTAACCTTGATTGGAGAGTCCAATGAGGCACGGCTGGCCAAGCACATGCACAACGTCTTCGAGCAGCGGCGCTCACTTCGCGAGTCGGTGCCACACTCGGCTGTAGGGCTTTGGGGCTTTTAGGTTTTTGTTTTGGGTGTTTTTGGGTTTTTTAGGTTTTTCAGGGTTTTGGGTGTTCGTGTTTTTTTTGGGTTTTTTTTTTTTATGGTTTTGGGGTTTTAGGGTTTGGGGTCTTCGGGTTTTCGGGTTTTAGGGTTTTGGGGTTTGGGGGTTTAGGGTTTTCGGGGAATTCGGGGTGTTAGGGGTGTTAGGGGGGTTTTGGGGTTCTAGTCGGGTTTTAGTCAGGTTTAAGGGATCAGAAGGGCGCTGGGTTGCCCCACTAAGAACATCCGAAACGAGGGACTATCAAGGGAGATGGTTCCTTTCCGGAGAAAGGGGTGATATCCCATGGGATCTGGCGTTTTTAGGGTTAGAGATGGAGTGTCTCAGAGGGTGTAGGAGCAACGAAAGCAGCGCATCCTTTTTTCCCCGATAGGTTGCTGGCACTGGAAACCCAGCAAAGGCTCCTTCTCAAGACCTTCAGGGTTGATGTTCAGGATTTAGGGTTTAGGGTTCGGGGCTTAGGGTTTAGGATTTCGGGGTTTAGGGTTAGGGCCTTTGGCCTACTTAGCCCATACTTGACCCAAAAGCTCCCAGATGTTAGCTTAGAAGGGTTTACGTGTTTTTTCCAAAGCCCGAAGACCACAGTTGTGGGCTACAGAAGCCCGCAGACCATAGTTGTGGGCTGCAGGGCCTTACTTTGTTTCGGGTTTAGGGTTTTGGGCTTAGGGTTGTTTAGGGTTTAGGGTTTAGGGTTTTTAGGGTTTAGGGTTTTTTTTTAGGGTTTAGGGATTAGGGTTTTTTAGGGTTTAGGGTTTTTTGGGGTGTTTTAGGGTTTAGGGTTTAGGGTTGAGGGTTTAGGGTTTAGGGTTTGGGGCACTTATAGCCCCAATTCAAAGTCTACACACAACCTACTTAGAGGACTTGGGGGGGGGGGGGGGCAAAAGTGCAGTTATACTTGGGGTTGTAAGTAGCCATGAACCTCCACTACAATTTGGGGGATGAGTTTGGGCAACTAGGTGTTTAAGCGTGGGATACTTGGGCTTGTTTCGACTCACTGTTGGTTGAATTCGATTTTGGCGAGAAGTTGTCACGAAACCCGAAGCCCCCCCGAAACCCTAAACCCCTAAGACCCTAAGACCCTACGACCCCACCACTGCCTCAGAAACGCCAGGGGAAGAGAAAACGCCCGAAGCGAATAACTTCTTGTCATCGCATGGCCCTAAATGGGCATGTCCGAAATAGGGCTATCCCGAATATACCCCCAACATACTCGAGTCGGTGACTCAGTATGACAGGACCTACCCCCCTCCCCAGCCCTAAAACCGCCAGTGAACCATACGGACCCAAGCAGGCCCTTGTTCCCTCTTTTTAGGTTTTAAGTTCCCTTATACGCTCGTTGAAACCAAAAAGGGCACCCTTTTATTCCTACCTTCCTCTTGGGTCTAGCATATGTGTTACCTTAAACCCTCAACCTCCGCGAAACAGACGGTGGGGGGGGGAGACACTAGTGAAAACTGCTCGTAGGCCCCAAAGACTGGACCATGGCCTCCTAAAGAATTTGTGACTCATGTGAATTCATCCCTAAGCAAACCCTTATCCCTAAACCCGAGTTCCTAAACCCTAAACCCGAAACCTGTAAAAATCAGCCCAAGCAAGGGTTTGGGGGTTTTGGGGTGTAGGGTTCAGGGTCGATATGTTCAAACAGGTGGTGCGAAGGGGAGCATGGAGGGTGTGAGACTTGGGAGTTTACGAAAATAGGGAAAGGATTCCCTTGTAATCAGGACCCCTAGTATAAGGTACCTCTAAACCCTACACCCTTCCTTCACCCTAAGCCCTAAACCCTAAACCCTAAACCCTAAACCGAGTTTCGGAAACCCCCCACTTCAGGCACTTGACCACGTGGACGACCTGGCCAAGTTCCAGTCTGACTTGGATTCCAGGTGGGCCACCGATCCTGGAGGTTGATAGCTCGGGTTTAGGGTTTAGGGTTTAAGGTTTAAGGTTTAGGGTTTAGGGTTAGGGCCTAAAGTTTAGGGTGCAGGGCTAAGCCCCGCGCCCCAAAGCCAAAACCCTACACTGAATCCCAATTGGATTTATGACAGCGCTTCGTGCCGTCTTGTTTTGGGTTCCTGCTAAGGAACTTCATCGAAGTTGCCATAACAAGGAAACCGGACCATAAACTAAACATGTATATATATATATATGTATATCCGCACCATATACTATGCTATATAGATATTATATATACATATATGTATACATATATGTATGTATATGTATATATATATATATACCCATATTGCGGTGACCTACTTGAAGTTCCTACACCCTAGGCCCTCAGCACGCAACCCTGTGAACCCTACACGCCCTAGACCCGAGATTGTTAAGGTTGTCGGCCCGGCAAAGTTCGGGTTCCTTGGGGTCCCGACCTTGGCCCTGTTCTGGCTTGTGCATTCAAGTCCACATCACCAGCGCCATGGCGCGACGATCGACTGCCCAGTCCCTTGCCGCAGCCTCATTGCTATTGCTGCTGACATACCATCTGCGCCGCTTCTCTTGCAGCGCATTCTCGTACCCCAGGGCGCATGATCTTCTTTGCCATCGCGGTCCCTCGCGCTTCTTCCTCGACACGGCATCCACTGAGCAGTGGTCAGAGCTGCTTCCCCTGGGCATCTTTCACGGCATCACCACCAATCCCACGATCTTGGAACGGTGCAACGTCCCCTGCACTGTGGCATCTGTGCAGTCGCTGGCGTCCAACGCGCTCGACGTCACGGATGAGTTCATGTGCCAGAGTTGGGGGGGCGATGCCGACATGATGTACTCCATTGGGATGGAGTTGAGCTCCGTCGATCGGACGAGGGTTGTGGTGAAGTGCCCGGTGACGGCGGAGGGCACCAAGGCCGCATCGCGACTGATTGGCAGTGGTGTGCGGGTGTGCCTGACGGCCTGCTACAGCAAGAACCAGGCCTTGGTGGCCGCCGCCTGCGGGGCCGAGTACATTGCCCCATATCTGGGACGGATGACCGATGCCGGGAGGGACGGGCTGAGTGAGTGTCGATCGATGCAGTCCATCGTAAAAGGCATGGGCAGCAGTACGCGGATCTTGGTGGCAAGTATCCGGAAGGTGGAGGACATGTGCACGCTGGCCTGCTGCGGGTGCGACACGTTCACCTTCTCCCCAGACGTTGCCAGGGCGATGTTTGCGGAGGAGCTGACGGCAGTTGCCGCGAAGGACTTCGAGGATGCCGCGCTCAGGAACAAAGGCGCCAAGTCCGATGAGAAGTGAACTCACACCCCGTGTCAAAAAATGGTTTAGGGTTTAGGGTTTAGGGTTTAGGGTTTAGGGTTTAGGGTTTAGGGTTTAGGGTTTAGGGTTTAGGGTTTAGTCCAATGTAATTCTGCAGCTGCATCTCAAAACTCCGGTGTCGGCAATTGGAAGAAAGCGCCTGGCGGGCCCACCAAAGCTCAGTGACGCTGCAACAGTACGGCTGGGTATAGAAGGGGGGATCTCTAGTCCCTTCGGGAATATATGTCTTTCATTCAAGGGTGTATATAATTAGGGGGATGTACAATCCCTTAGCGGGCGCATGAGGGTGATGCATATTCCCTTGAAGGGCACTTAAAGACTAAAAATATAGGGTTTAGGGTTTAGGGTTTAGGGTTTAGGGTTTAGGATGTGTAAGCTCTTGGGATGCCTGAGGAGCACGAAGCCCAGTGCAAGCGGGGCATCCTCCGCTTGATCCCCAGGGCGAAGTTCATAAACCCTAAACCCTAAACCCTGAACCCTAAACCCTAAACCCTAAACCCTAAAACCCTAAGGGTTTAGGGTTTGGGGTTTGGGGTTTAGGGTTTAGGGTTTAGGGTTTACCAACAAACCCATGAACTCTGTCAGCCCTAAGCTCCTCGGAGATGTCAGATCCTCAGCAACAACCAAGTTTGGTAGGGTTTAGGGTTTAGGGTTTAGGGTTTAGGGTTTAGGGTTTAGGGTTTAGGGTTTAGGGTTTAGGGTTTAGGGTTTAGGGTTTAGGGTTTAGGGCTTATGAGTAGGTTCATCAGTACCCCCCCCCCCCCCCCTTTCCTCTGCCCCCCCCCAAATACGTGTGTTCAACTTACTTCTCGTCCCCGTTAGAACGACGGAACCTCCAAGCGCACCCCCAAGTCCTAAACCCTCTAACCCCAAAGCCTAAACCCTAAGCCCTGAACCCCTACCACTGAGCGTTCAGCATACATAGCGTTCAGGGGAAGGGTGGGGAAATCCTGCAGGCTTCGAAACATTCGTGTGCGCGGGGCCCGGCATGGACTTCAGAGCTCAAGAGCCAGGTTTAAGGTTTAGGATTTAGGGTTTAGGGTTTAGGGTTTAGGGTTTGTTTAGGGGCGGAAGCTTGATGGCTAACCGCAGCTTTCTCTCTTTCTCCAGGCTCCAGGGCACGGGAAACTTTCGGGGTCGAGGCCTTACTAGGACCCAGAGTAGGCCCTGGTGATTAGGGTTTAGGGTTTAGGGTTCAGGGTTCAGGGTTTAGGGTTTAGCGCTTAGGGTTTAGTGGCACCCTTTGTATTACTAGGTTACTCTTTGGTCTAGGGCATATGACTGGAGACTTCAGCGGTTGAGACCCCACCAAACAGGTCAAGTGCGGCACAGATGCACGCAAATGGTACCTGCTTCTGTGGTACAAAACCCTAAACCCTAAGCCCTAAGAGAGATTCTTGAACTTGTCGAAGTCGTTGTTCGTTTCGCATGGCAAAAATGCCTGAAGCCCTACACTAGCTGGTCAAGCTGCCCTTAAACCAGGATCTTAGGGATATAGGGTTCAGGGTTTAGGGTGTAGGGTTTAGGGTTTTGGGTTTTAGGGTTTTAGGGATTTAGGGATTTAGGGTTCAGGGTTTGGCAATGCTGCATCCGTCCTTTGCTTGTATCCAGGGTTGCCTGTCTCTTCGTCACGGACTTGGTTGCCGTGAGCAGCCATGAAACCCTAAAACCCTAAAGACCTTAAAGACCCTAAACCCTCAAACCCTACAAACCCTGCACCCTACGCCAGCTACCGATACCAGACTTCCTAGTCCCTTAGGATATCTAACTCCCCTACACCCTTACAGTTTGGAAGCAATCCCTGTACCTCCAAGACGCCAAACCTAGAAATCCCTAAGCCCTAAACCTCCCATCACCCCGCCTCTTCAGGGTCTACCCCTAAACCCTAAACCCTAAACCCTAAACCCTAAACCCTAAACCCTAAACCCTGAGGTCTTTGAAGCTGCTGGTGGAGGAGGCGAGGCGCCTCTCCGCGCGGATGGCCCGGGAGGCCTGGCCACCCCACTATTTGCTCAAGAACTACCCAGACATGAAAAATGTTTTCCTTATGAGGGTGTAGGGTTTGGGGTTCAGGGTTCAGGGTTCAGGGTTCAGGGTTCAGGGTTCAGGGTTCAGGGTTCAGGGTTCAGGGTTCAGGGTCGGGTAAGATAGTTAATACAGTTATAGTAAATAGGGATCTGTTAACAATATGTTTTTGGGGGGGTCTTAAGCCAATAAGCATCGCGGCCGCCGGTTAAGGGCATGCCTGTTTTTTTGCCCTTCGAGGACCCAGAGTAGGCCCTTATTCCCCTGTTTTAAGGCTTTAGGTTCCCTACAAGCTCTTTGAAACTTTATTCTTAGGTTACTCTTGGGTCTAGCTTGTCTGTTTGGTTTAGGATTAAAGGGTTTAGGGTTTAGGGTTCTTGTTTAGTGGCAGTGGTCGTAGTCGCAGTCGTAGTGGTCGTGGCAGTGGTAGTGGTACTGGTAGTGGTACTGGCAGTGGTACTGGTAGTAGAGGTAGTAGACGTGGTAGAGGTAGTAGTCGTCGTCGCAGATGAGATTAGACTAGATTGTGAGTGTCAGTGGTGCTATGACTCCTGTCAACACCGAAAGCTCCATCATCGCTCGTTCTATGCAGCCCTAACCCTGAATTGTGGAACCTAAACTCGCTAAGCCCGAAAACTTAAAACATTAAGCCCTAAACCCTAAAGCCTGAACCCTAAACCCTGAACCCCGAAATTGTGGAGCAGACAGGCAGAGCTACGTGGGCAAGCAGCCGCCCAGCTTGCAAAAGTCGCTCGGAAAGCACAGAAGTTGGAGCCAAGCCTATGAACCAAATTCCTCTCTGGGTTTAGGGTTTAGGGTTTAGGGTTTAGGATTTAGGGTTTAGGGTTTAGGGTTTAGGGTTTGGGAAAGTCAGAGTCGCTGAAGGTTCAGGCTTTTTTAATGTGTTTTTTCGGGTATGTTGGAGGTTAAAGGTACCTCCAACCCTCCCAACCCCAAAACAACCTCGGCCTTCAGGGGCCTTGATTTCGGGTTTAGGAATGGTTTAGGGTTCTTTTCGCGTTGCTGACACCGACCTCAGCTCGAAATCCCCGACCTCAAGCCCCAAAACACCAATCCCTGAACTCTCGGGTTTGGGGTTTAGGGCTCCAACGGGCTCCACTCTTCTGGCTGTGCATACTTGGGGGGGACGGCAACTGGACGGATGGACGGACACACACACACACATATCCCGAAGAAGAGAACTCATGTGTTGAGTAGGGTATGGGGTTTGGAGTTTGGGGTTTTGGCAGCCTGTGACCCACTTCGGGCGCAATAAGCGGCCCCCCCCTTACAAGCCACAGCTTGGTTGCTCGTTGTCTGGCGCCTTCAGTGCAGGCACTACCCCTAAACCCTAAACCCTTAACCCTTAACCCTTAAACCCTAAACCCTAGACCCTAAACCCTCAACCCAATGACAAGACGACAGGTGAAGGAGCGCCGGCGCCTCGTGCAGGCCAACATCGCGGCAGTCGATGCCAGGTGCAGGGCCTTATAAGCCCTAAGGCCCGAATCGAAAGGGTTTAGGGTTTAGGGTTTAGGGTTTAGGGTTTAGGGTTTAGGGTTTAGGGTTTAGGGTTTAGGGTTTAGGGTTTAGGGTTTAGGGTTTAGGGTTTAGGGTTTAGGGTGCTCGGCCTGGGTGTTTAACATAGGGGTACCCTTTTGGGGGGGGGGGGGGGTGGGTCCCTTTCAGGGGATTCTATTGTCTTTTTGGGGTATAAAAGGGGTAGCCCTAGCTCCTGGGGTGTTTTTGGGTGTAGTTAAGGGTTCGTCCTCAACCACAGAATCGGGACCAATTCACCGGCCCCCTCCCCTACACCCCGAAGCCCACGTGACACAAAGCCCCCTGGAACCCTGTTATGCCCGAATCCCTGTGCTAAAACCCTCCAAACGCTCGCCCTAAACCCTAAACCCTATATCCTTGAAACCCTGTACTTGTACCCTTTATGCCTTAAGCCCTATGCTTAGAAACCTTCAGACCCCGACCCCCTTGCAGTCTCAGTCGTGGCTGGTCCTGAAAAGGGAGCTGTATTTAGGGGTTTACGGTTTAATTCTGATTTTTTTGCTTGTGTGTGTGCTTGAATACCCAAGAGAATAGAAAAGAGTGCTTTTACAAAGCTGTCTCGCGCAGCAATATGCCCCTTGTCGTTCAAGCTGTCCTGGTTGCCGACGCCCCATACAAACCCTCAAGGCTGAGATTTCCTAAGCCTTAAACCTTAAACCCTAAACCCTAAAGGGGTTTAGGGATTAGGGTTTAGGATTTAGGGAGCTCAAAGCAGGGATTTTGGCGCTGCGGTTCAGGGTGATCAGGTTTCAGGATGACTTGGCCCCTCCTAAACCCTAAACCCTAAACCCTAAACCGCTCCTGTGGACAGGTACCGCTCCGACCTTACGAAAGCGCAGTCGATGCTCGTGCCTGCATTGCCTTGTAGGGTCCTTAAGGGAGGGCGGTTTCTGGGGTTTAAGGTGGGTTTAGGGTTTAGGGTTTAGAGTGTACTGTTTAGGGTTTCGGTTTTCGGGTTTCGGGTTTGGGGTTTGGGGTTTAGGGTTAGGGGGCTTTATGGGTGGGGTGGGGGGGGTGGGTACCTAGGGAACCTTAGGGAAGCTTAAGGGAGCCATAGGGAGTAGTGAGGAGTATCAGTGAACCTTGGGTTACATACCTCCCTCGAACCCCCTCAGAACCGTATAGCTTTGAACAACAGTCTTCTGTGAACCGCCGCAGCCCTAAACCCGAAACCCCTAACCCCTAAACCTTAAACCTTAAACCCTAAACCCTAAACCCTAAACCCTAAACCCCTCAGGCCGAATCCGAAACCTGAACCCCCGCAGCCCAGGAACATCACCACCTCCCTGCGGCAGCTCAAGCAACTTGATGGGACCGCCCGAAACCCGAAACCCTAAACCCTAAACCCTAAACCCCCTGTGGATTGCAGCAGCTGTGATGAGCTTTTCCATGCT